AGGCACCGTGAAATGAACTTCAAGTTCACGCGGAACCCAAATATTGAGCTTGCTTACGTATCCCAGCTTCTTCAGGTGGTCATGAATGCTGGAATGATAGATGGTCAATGTTTCTGCAATCTCTCGTGTCATGTAATGTGGGTTTGACTCGATCAATGCCTTTATTTTGTCATCATCAGCCTCGGTGGGCCTCCCTGACCAAGGAGCAACGTTGAGATCAAAATCACCAGCACAGAATATCGTGAACCATCATTGGCACTGACGTTCTTGTAGAGCATTGTCACCGTAAACTTTATGCAACTTTTCACAAGCTTGACGCACGTTCTTCCCTTTATGGAAGTAAAACAGTAAAATATGGCAAAAATACACAGTTTGTTCTTCCTTCTTCAACTTGTTGTAAAATCTCCAAAACTCAACCAACTCACTCAATTTTTTTTAGAATGAAGTTAGAACTGTCAGCTGTCAAATGACATAGCAATAACAGATGCGAATGACTCTAGTACTTCCAAAAATGAACTAGTGCCATCTGTCGCAAACATGCGTCATGACTTTTCCGACAACCCAATATATGAAGTTCTAGAACAACAGACAAATCTGTGGTGACAGGGGTCAGAATAGGGCTCCCTCTGGGAGAAGGCGGGCATTGCCTGAGAAGGGGCACCTGGGAACCTTCTGGGGTGCAGGGGATGTTTTGTATCTTGATCTTGGAGGTGGTTTGTGGGCAAACACATTTGTAAAACTTCATAGAGTTGCGCACTTAAGATGCGTGCACTTTATGGATGTGTGCTATACCTCAATTTTCAAAATGTTTACAAACAGAGCAAGGTCCCACAATTGTTACTTGGCATATGCATCCTGTGGGGAATACTAAGGTGGATGTAGGATGTGTCCACGGTCTCCTTGACCCTTCTCACATAGAGGCATCAGCCTCCAGGAGAAACAGCCAAGTGAAGAGGAGGAGACTGGGGATAGGCCCAGGGAAGGTCACCAAGGACCAACCCTAAGAAAATGTTCTCAACAATTGGGCATGAAAAGGAAGCAGGTAGCAGGCACAGGAAGGACAGAGGAAGGCAAATGTCTTTGGCTTCAGCCAACACTGAGTTGTGTTCTGCCATAGTTGGGTATGTTGTACAATATACCATCCTGTCTCCTCTGGTATTGTATTGTGTGTGCTAACTCTTTCTAACCAAAATTATAAGTAAGCCAGCATCTTCCAATTCCTAAATGGTGTGCACAAATGAGGACTGGCTGGATTTATCAGCACAGTCCTTGGAAGAGACTATCAATTACCTGTAATACGTCAGCGACAATCCAGGTGGCTTTTCAAATTAGCTTTGCCTTCACAAGTGGTTGCATGCAAGTGAGCATTTACTCCCTCACCAGTCATTGAAAGACGAGAGGCCTCTCTGCCTTGGTCACTCAGGTTTTACTGGACACAGGTTGGCCTGATTTTCCAACAAGCCTTTCATGCAAGCAGGGTTGGCAGGCATTCAAAGGACAATTCTTTAAACTCCAGTTCTGCAAGCTGCTCCTTATAAAATTCTGGTTTTGTCATGCTAATGGTGCCCTTGAGACCCAGCCCCACTTCCCAAATCTGTGTGGGGAGATGTGAGAAGAAACTTGGAGCCCCTTTAAGCCCTCTGAGTAGGTCCTTTTTCTATGTCCTGGAATTTTCTTTCACAGATGAGGTTACAGGTCTTCTTAATCCCTTTGTTAAAAAAAAACACAAAATAGGCTTGGCCAAATCCAACACACCCTCCCTCTTCTATGCCCTCCTTGGTGGCAGAGATCAAAATGGGAGCACCCTCGGGAAATGTCAGAACCAAGCCCTTCTGTCCACCCCAAATAATCTCTGGGCTGTCAGCAGGGAACCTCCCTTGGTTCTGGCCTTGACTTACTCTCTGTGGAATTGCCACTTTCCCCATATAGCCCAGAGCTCCCCATATGGGTGCATTCATTCATTCACTCATTCACTTCATTCATTCTTTCAATAAATCGTTTTTGGGCATCCAATCCAAGCCCAGCTCTGGACTCTTCTGGGGAGTCAGCTGCGAACAGGCAAGTAGAGTCTGGCGGAGGAGATAGGACCCAAACAATCACAATTCAGTGGTGAATATTAATACAAGGGAAGTCTGGTGCTGAAGGAGCACATGATGGAGGAGGACCACCTTAAGGAAGTGGCATTTCAATAGAGACTAACGGATAAGAAGGAGTAGCCAGAAAGAGCTGAGGACTGCATCCTGGGTGGAGAGAACAGCTTGTGTAAAAGCAGGGAGATGAGAGACAGCATGGCTTTCAGGGAACCCAAGTAGTTCTTAGTGGCTGGAGTATGGGGTATGAGGAAAAGTGGCCCCCATTTCTTTGCCGACCTTCCCTCATGTGGCTGCCCCTCAACTCCACTGCAGCCGCCCTGGCCACCTTGCTGTTCCCTGAACATTCCTGCATGCAGCAGCCTCAGAGCCCTTGTTCCGTCCGTTCCCTCTGTCTGTGACGCCCTTCCCAAAGATATCTGTTTGGCTAACTCTCCCCTTCCTTCAAGTTTGTGTTCACATCTCACTTTCTCAATAAGACCCCTCTGAGCAGCCATGTATAATATTACCACATACTGCCCCCAATTACACCGGGCCACCCCTCTCCCTCCTCTCATTTTTTTCATAGTATCTATCATCTCTAACATGCCATCTACTTCACTTATTCATTATTGTCTATCTCCCCCACTAGAATATCAGCTTCACAAGGTAAGGACCTTTGTTTTCTTCACTGGGGCATCCCAAGCCCTTGAACATTTGAAGAAACGAAGAATAGATGGGATTTGAGAGGCTGGCAGGGCAGGTCCAGGGGAAAGCATGTGAATTTGATTCCAAGTGCAAAGGGAAGGCACCAAAGAGCTTTGAGTAGGGCAGGATCAGAGTCTGATTTACATTGTAAAAGCTTGTTCTGAAATCTGTGTGGAGAATGCTTGAGGGAAGACGAGCTACTACAGACATCCAGGCAGGTGGCAGCGGTGGCTGGGCTAAGACGAAGGGTCTGGAGAAGCAGATGGGTTGAAGAAATCCCAGGAGGCCATCTCACCGTGCCTCGGTGATCTGAGGACTGTGCAGTTTCGAGAAGACAGGAAAAAGAAGATTCCCAGGCTACTCTCTGAGGGACAGGGCCAGAATGGGACCACTTGCCAAGATGGGGGACAGAAGAGGAACAGGTTGGGGGCTGGAATGGTCAAGAACTCCATTTAGGCCACTATGAATTGGGTCTTTTAGACTTTCAAGTGGAGATGTCAAGTAGCCATTGGACAAAGTTTAAGCTCAGAATGAAAGTCTAAACATTTGGGGATCGTTAGCTTAGAGTTGTTTTAAAGCTGGGAGTGTAGAGGGAGAGGAGACGATGTCTAAGAACTGACCTTGAGAACCAAACCATGAAGCCTTCTGAATTGGCCCTTGGAAGATAAGGGATTCACCAGGAAAGTGGAGAAAATGCAGGCCAGGAAGAAGGGAATAGTGCGGATAGAACCTCAACATAAAAAACCATGGATCTCTGTGCTCTTCAAAATTGTCAAAGTCATCAAAAACAGTCTGAGCAACTGTCAGAGCAAAGAGGAGCCTGAGGAGACATAACAACTAAATGTAATTTTGGTATCTTGAATGGGATCCCCAAACAGAAAAATAACATTAGGTAAAAACTAAGGAAATCTAAATAAGGTATGGACTTTAGTTAACAATAATGTTCATTAATTGCAACAAACATGCCATACTACATACACACATATCTACATACATGTTAGATGTGAATAATAGAGGGAGTGGGTGCAAGGTATAAGAAATTCTCTGTACTGTCTTCTCAATTTTTCTCTAAATCTAAAACTGTTCTAAAAAACATCTTTTAAAAAAAAAGAGGATGAGGGCCGGCCGAGTGGCGTGTTGGTTAAGAGCTGGCTTGGGATGCCAGAGGGCCCCGGTTCGGATCCCACATATGACAGCCAGTGACATTGCCCTCTACAGCTAAGATGGTGAACGGCAGCTCGACCTGAGGCTGGGCTGCCGTGGCATAGGCTGCAGCCCCTGCTGCAGTGGGCTGCCATAAGCTACCGTGTGTAGCCGGCAGCCAGCGTGACAGTCAGCAGCCACCGTGAGAGGCTGTCCAGAGGCCGGCGACTGATCTGACTCGCCCGGGAAGAGTGCAATGATGGTGCCAGCTTGGACCAGTGAAGCAACATCCTCCACAACTAGACTGAAGAACAAAACAACAGCAACTTGTCTGTTCCCCTTCCCCCAAT